TCATATTTGAGACAGCTGAAACCATAAAATAGGTAATTATAATGTGGGTGTAAGAATGGCCCCAGAATAAAAGATGACTTGACAGTAACACATGTAAAGGTCAGGACCAAATTTTTTAATTTTTTAATATATATTTTTATTTGTTATAATTCAGGACCAAATTTTATTAATTGCTAAAATCATCCCCCAACACCTAGTACAGTCCTTGCCAGAGTAAATACTCTTTGAGTTACTATTTCTAAAAAACAAATCACCCTAAATTTTGTGTCATTAAAAAAATTGATTATCTATCTTACCTTCACAGATTGCATGGGTACTGCAGGGACAGTATCTGCTCATGATCTCTGAGCCTCAGCTAAGAAGACTCAGGAAGTCTGGAGGTGACTCAATGGCAGGAGGCTGGAGTCATTTGAAAAGGTGCTCACTCACAGGTGTGACGGCTGATGCCAGCTGTTCTTGGGGACCTCAGTGAGGAACCCACACGTGTCTTCCATGGAGCTACATGGCTTCCCTTTAGCAGACTCTTGGATTCCAAAGAGACCTGGTGAAAGCCTTTAATAATCTAGCCTCAGAAAGAAGTCACCCAATATTACTTCCACCATCATTGTGAGCCAGTTATAAAGAAAGAGAACACAGACCTCCACCTGTCAGCAGGAGATATGTCAAAGTCCTGTTTTAAGAACAATGCACTGGATGGGAAATAACATTGCAGTCGTCTTTGGGAAATAAAATCTGCCACTAGTATGGAAAAAAGAATCAATGAGTGACTAATGATATTATAAACTGCTTTCTCAAGTATTTTGAATTCTCCTTTGAGAACTTCCATACTCCCTTGAGGCTATTCAGGGCTAGGGGATTTGCCTTGGCCAATAAAATATGGTTGGGAGCAACTTACAGAACTTATTGCAAGAAGCATTTCGTAGTTGATCCTCATTATTCGCAGATTCTGTATCTGCAAACTTGCATACTTGCTAAATCTATTTGTAGCTCCACAATCAATACTCAGAGAACTTTCTGTCACTCGAAAACACACACACAGCAACAAAATATTTGTGTTGCCCAGTGCATAGATTTCCAGGTAAAGTCACAAGACACAGAGGCCTGTCTCCTTATTTGGCTCTCATACTCTAGACAATGTCCATTTTCACAGTCAAATTAGTGCCACATTTTTCTCATTCTTATGCTTTTTGTTGATGATCTTACTGCTTAACATCATCCCCAGGTGCAGTGCCAAAGTGTCGTCCAGTGTTCCTAAATTGCAAGAAAGCTCATAAAAAAGCTATGTGAAAATGTGTGTTAGATAAGCTTCATTCAGGCACGAGTTACAACGCTGGATATGGGTTCAATGGCAGTGAATCAACAACATATGTTAAATAAGACATCTTTGTACAGAAACGCACATAAATTTTGTCTATATTAGTTGATAAAAATATCATGACCAGAGGTTCACAAGACTCTTAAGTCTGTATCTCCCTTAAAAGCAACATTTCTGGATTCACTGATTCAGTGCTTGCAGTGTAGAATAAGGAGCATCGGTAATGGCTGCTGAAAGATACCTGGGTGCTCTTTTTCCAGCTGCAGCGACCACAGGGACTCCATTGTCATAAAGTGCCAGGCTGCATCACCTGAAAAGGGCTGTCCTGTAGAATCCATCAGACCCTCTGAGGACTCTGAAGACTTAAAGGATAAAGGACAAAAAGGATTTTTTTTTTTTTTTTTTTTTTTTGCAGGAGCTGTTGCTTACAGCCAATGAGATTTCAAGTTGGTTCCATAGTATAACTTGGTCTTTTCTGACTAACACAGCCATTTTTTTTTAAAAAAAAAAAAAAACTTTTTGTAGTTGTAGATGGATAGCATGACTTTATTTGTTTATTTTTATGTGGTGCTGAGGATCAAACCCAGTACCTCACATGTGCTAGGTTAGTGCTCTGTCACTGAGCTACAATCCCAGCCCTTAACACAGCCATTTAATATCTACTCCTAAAATGTTGTCTATTAATTGTCCATGTGAATTACTGAAAAAAAAAAGGAAAAAAGAAGTATTTAGGTAATTGGGCAACTCCCCACCTTCAGCCTCCACTTGGTGAACTTTGAAAATAGAACTCGTCTCCAAAGTTTTTGTAAAGCGTAAGTATAATATCAGCTTCATAGTGTCACATAAACATGAGTTATGTATGAGCTAACAGAACAATTTAAGCCACAAGAAACCTAACTCAATTATATGAAATAGGGGGGGCTGGAGATGTGGCT